AATATTTAATAAATCCAAAAAACATATTCATATAAAGATCCAACGTCCTTTCTTGCGTGTGTGTTTTTGAAATTGTAGAGTTAAAAACGCCCGTTATGCTATTTATTATAGCCGTGAAGTTTAATTGAACTTCCTAACCTCCAAACAGTACTAACACAAATTTTAACCAGAATTATAAATAAAAAAGTTAGAAATCATAATATTACCTGAAGAAATTTGAATAATCATAGTAAAAATTAAAAATTTGCAATAATGATATTAACATAAATACAAAATTTGAGGTTAGAAAACCAAACAATATATTTTTTACTTTTAATATTCTAAGTACATATTTCATGTTTGTTGGCTTAATATTAAATATTCTTAAATTGATAATATTATGTTAATATTTCCCTTCTGATAAAGAAGATAATTGATTTGAGTCATCTAAATTGTCAATATCCATAACTTGCTTTTGAACATATTGCATTCTATTTAATTCAACGCGTACGGATTTCACCTCAAGATATTGTTTGCTACGCATTCGCGATTGCTTTTTTTTCCTCTCATTATTTTCCATTATTAATTAACAAAAGAACAATAAAATTCAGGTTCACACAAAATGACATGTGCACTTGCACCATTCATGTCATCATTCTCGACGATGGAACATCGATATATTGAAAACTTCGATACATCGATTTCGATATTTTCGATTTAAATTTAAATATTATTTTTAAATTAAATAAAAAGTGAAACTATATATAATAATGTAATTTATTAATAATATTATTTTGATTCTATCACTCGGTGGTATTTAATAATAAATTTAATTTATTTAATAATTTTATTATTATAATTTATTATTATTAATATTTATTCTTTTTATTATTATTTCTAAAACGAACATTTTAAAAATATTTGTGTCCCTTATTGTTGAACATAATTAAATTCATATTTTAAATAAAGAAAACATCGAAAAATAATCTAAAATTCGAGGTATTTCTGGCTAGAATTTAGTAAGGGCTTAATCAGATTTTTCTAGTTTGAATTGCCTTTCTAGAATTCAAACGGGATCTCAGCAGATATTTCTAGTCTGAATTTCTCACAAGAATCTAATCAGGTTCGAGTACGACTTTTCTAGGCTAAATTTTCTAGCGCGGTTCTAGTCGGAATCCGCATTATCACATTGGGAAGCTTAGGGACATTTCTACACGGGTCCCAAAAACCTCCGAGGAATGATTTTCGAGTAGATTCGTTAGTTTCAAAAAAATTGTCAAACTTTAAGTTAAATTTTTGTACATTTGGTCGCCTTAAAGAATTTAAAAATATAATCTATTTTAGAAAAATTGTTTTGGTGACAATTTTTTTTTTTAAGTAGATATTGAATTATTAATTTCGAGTCAATAAACGAAATAGATTTCTATTATGTCCTCTCGGCAAGTAATTAAATGTCAATTTGAGTTCGATTAAAGCCGTTGGAATACTTAAGTGTTCGTATAGCCTCGGGAGAATATATCAAGGCAAGTTCAATGTAATGATTTATCGCGTGAAACTAACACGTGATACTTGTACTTTTCTTGTCGACGCTTCAGTAACGTGATTATTTAAAGGGGACCTTTTGATTTAATCTGCGGTACAATTAAGTAGTGACTAGAGAGAAAGGTTGAATAATAAGGTGAAGAAGAAGAAGAAGGAGGATGAGGAAGGGGAGAAGACTTAAGCGACAAGAGTTTCAAGTGCAAAGTTTTAGATGATGTGAAAATCTATATATATAAACTCTTCAGTCTAGGAAAATTTCCCATCACTATAAATCCTACTAAAATGCTGAATATAAAATTTCTTGATTTGGAAGAATCTAACAATTTCATTCACCAACAAATTTTATTGAAAAACAAATTGTTTATCATTCCAAATAAGTCTGTTTTATTACAAAGCTTAATCCTTTTGAATCTTGAAACATTTTCGTATCAAAATTTTAATCCCTTTAAATTCGGAATGTTTTGGAATTAACTGAACAAAATCTTTAATATCTTTACTGATATTTTTTGAAAAGTAGAAAATACTTTTCAAATAAAATTAAATTCATATACAAAACGCAGCTCTATTCAAGAAATATATAACGTCACAAAATTCACCTCTGACTTTTATAGAGTAATTCCATTCTAATTTTTGTGAAGAAAGGGAAGATAATTAAATTTTATGTTATTTCACACACTCTTTGGCGTATTGCGCCTTCTTTTGTAATATCTACTCTGTCACTATTGAAAGCTGCGGGCCAAACGAACTGGAAAAATGAATATGTGAAAAATGAAAAAACATTTGAATGAAATAGAAGAGAAAAAAAAAAATATATATATATATATATTCGCGAAAAATACGAGGAATTCTTTTATTGCCTCATAACACGCTTTTGAAAACAACGAGAAAAATTGGTTCGAGTTGACTTTTGCTGCTTTCCGATGACCTGGAAAGTACGGGCAATAAACATTTTTGAGAATCGAGTGTTTGTTGCTGTAAAGATGAGTGATTGTAAAAGTGTAGAGAGAGTGAGATAAAAGTATTTTTTATTAATCTATAGAAAAGGTGTGAGACGAATGAAAATATACTCTTTCTTTAAAAATCATATCCTTTTGTTATTATAGCACAGAGAGAGAGATAATATTTCTTCATTCCTTCGATTTCACTCTTTTCATGGACAATAAAAATTTCTTTCAAGTTGGTTTTTGTGGAATCTAATTCTTGTTCCATTGTTCTCTACTTTTTAATGTCAATAGTAACACAAAAAAAACATTCTTTAACTCTATTTCACTTAAGAAGGTCATTATTTTCAAAAAAATCGATTTTTTTTATTAAAGTAAATCTAAGAAATGTTTACCTAAAGTTTCCATTATCCCCACTCGCCATTTGTCATATAATTCTCATCAACTACCTCACCCTGCTCTAGTAAAAATTTAGTGACTTTATTGTTAAAATTAAAAATTACTATGAAGTTAGTAAATTTTTACTAGAGCAGGGTGCGGTAGTTGATGAGATTTATGACAAATGTCGAGTGGAGACAATTAAGTCTGTGTCAGTTCATCGAGATATTTCGAGTTCGAGTATGACGTCAGATAGCTGCAGGGAAAACAAGCAGACGACACAATGTTATTCTAATGAGGAAACAAATTTTTTCTTTCTCTTTTATCAATTTTACTCATATTTTATACATGGAAATCGGTTGTTGATATATAATCAAAATAAAATGTGTGTTGATAATTAACTCCAATTTCTGGTTGGTTTCCATTGTGCCCACTCGTCATTTTTCATAATTCTCGTCAACTACCGCACTCTGCTCTAGTGAAAATTTAGTAAATTTATAGTAACTTTTAATTTTAAAAATAAAATCACTAAATTTTCACTAGAGCAGGGTGCGGTAGTTGACGAGATTTATGACAAATGGCAAGTGGGGACAATGGAAACCAATCAGAAGTTGGAGTTACGCCATGACATTAGGCTCGATTCACAATGTTTCGAACAACTTTATATGAAAATGTATAGTGTTTTGTAAATTTTATTGAAAAACTGAAAGAAAAATGTATTTTAGGATCCAAATCAATGGTGGAGAATAACATAATCTGTCAGTTAAAAAGCTGATTAATGATAGTTTCCTTATCTAAAATTCATAAATCAGATGTATGTATCTACTTTGTTTTCCTTTTCGTAAACATAACCTCCAATTGCAAATTATACATTTTTCACAAGTTTTACAGTGGCTGAACAAGTTCTTTCTTAATATTTTTTTTCTAAATGTTAAAAATGGTTTTTAAAGTGAAATAAAATACTAAATTTCGGTTAAATAAAACTGCCAACACGAGTGTCCTTATCATTTCTCAAATTACTACTTTTTTTAAGCACCAATTCCTTTCTTATTTATCAGGTATTTTTATCCTGGCTTTAATGTTCTTTTTCAATAATTACTAATTTAGTTTTAACAATCAATAATATTTTTTAAATCATTTTTTATTATCAGTGCAGTGTATTTTCTACAATTAGTGCTCGAACAGGTAAAATAATTTTTTTTTGCCGACAGTTGATAATACGACGCATCGTTTAGTCCTAAAAAATCGTCTTCAAGATGATGCGATTTAAATATTGTGGAAAGTTGGTTTCCATTGTCCCCATTCGCCATTTGTCATAAATCTCTTCAACTACAGCACCCTGCTCTAGTAAAAATTTAGTAACTTTTAATTTTAACAATAAAGGTACTAAATTTTCACTAGAGCAGGATGCGATAGTTGACAAGAATTATCACAAATGGCGAGTAGGGACAATGGAAACCAACCGAATCATGGTTTGCAGTTGCGTTGGTAGCCCTGACTTCAGGCCTCGGCAAGTAAGCCGCCTAATTTCGTACGGGGAAAAACCCATCACTATTTACGATGCCACGTGAGACTAAAACTATGAAATTTTTACCTCACTCTAAGTTTAATTTTTCTTTTATATTTTTTTATTGTTTTAATTGTCTTCTGTCTATGATATGTTTTGCGACTGATCGTATATATATATATATATATATATATATAACAAAAATGATTGATTTCTTTTTAAATTTACAATAAATATTATTTCAAAATTCATTTCATTAACATTAAAAAAATACATTTCCCTATCAAAAATTTCTTTAAAAATGTTTTGACAATATCTTTCAAATTTCCAGAACGTGAAGAATGTCTGGCAATTAAAAACTTTCCAGACTCGCGAAACAAGTAGAAAAAAAATAACATTAAATGCAAATTTAGAGAGAGGAATATAATTTTTTTTTACGTAGCGTGGAATTAAACGAAGCAAAAGTCAGAGGTGGAGATTTTTTTTACTCTCTCTCTCTCTCTCTCTCTCTCTCATTCTCTCGTGCAAGAGGCTCTTGTTTCTTATCTTTTAAAGTGGATGTGGATCTCTACTTATGTTTAGAAAAAGGTAGGAAAAAAAAAGAAAAAATTAAAATGAAAAAACCAAGAAACGTCGAGACGCGTGACACTTACTTGAGTCGTGTCCCGTCTGCATTGCCAATGTTATTTGGGGGTCGAAACAGCACGCGCTGGGTCTCGCGGCTAGAAATATACTAATATAGGCATGCCGCGGGTATTTTCATTAAAAGATTTAGTCATGTGCAACGCAATTGTAATTTGCAATTTGTCATCTTCTCTCTCTCTTATGAAAATACATCCGTAACAAACAAATATCGTAAACAGTTTTATATATATATGTATATATGTATATATATATATGTATATATAAATTCGACGCGAATTCACGACATGTTTACTATTCCCGCGGGAATTTACGCTTCAATCACATCTGTCAACAACTCAATTTTTTAGTTTTTTCCTTTAAATATAGAAATGGAAATATTAAAGTAAAAAGCTTTCAATTTTTATACCAGGCAACGGTCAAGTTTTTCAATTCAATGCGATATACAATAGATTATATATGTGAATCAATTTACAATTTTATCGAAAAAAAATCAAGTTACCGGAAATTAGAGAATTTTTTAAAAATCAACAGAATATATTACATATTTTTATATAAGTACTGAAAGAATATATTCAAATACAAAAAAGAAATGTAATTAAAAAAAATTTTGTCAAAAATATTTCTCTATAACATAAAATATTGTTATAAATTATTATAAATATTTTAATTAAAATTTAGTAATTTCTTGATTTTTAAAGAGAAACGAAGAGACTTAAAAAAATGAAGCACTTTACAAAAATCTTCACCGTTGTCTGAGCTGAGCTTGAGTACTAGAAATTATTAGCAAAATTGCACATTAACCCCTTAAGTCTCAGTGTAATTTATTTATTCACTGTCTTACGATTTGTGTTCTTGTTACATAAAATACATAATTTTTAATTATATTTTTAATATTTAAAATATTCACAACTTTTATATTCATTTTCTAATCACAGAAAAAAAGGTGGGTAAAAAGTTGTAAAGAAAGAGGATAAAATTCGTTAGGATACAGGGTAAAGGATAAATTTGTGATGGATAAAAATGTTACTAAAATATTACTAGAAAAATGGATGTCATATTTGGGTAAACTGTCTAATTTTAATAAAAATATTAGTAATTTTACACTTAACTTATTAAATCCACAAATTTTATATAAATAAGTAATTGCATGTGGAAATATTTTGCCTATAATTATTGTCTATTAATAAAAATATCTTTGACTAATACAACTGACAGCTGACGACAGTGCGTAAATAATCAGAACTGGGAAATTACAACTCAACGTCTGTATTGTTGCACGAAAGCAAAGTTGGGTAGTAACTGAATTTTTTGTGCATATTAGGCTGTGTCAGTTCATCGAGATATTTCGAGTTCAAGATATGACGTCAGAGGCCTGGAGAGACAACAAACAGACGACATAATGTTATTCTTACGGGGAAGAAAATTTGTTTCCACTTTCATCAATTTTATTCATACTTTAAACACAGAAAACGCTTGTTGACATATAATAAAATTAAAATGTGTGTTGATAATTAATTTTCTTATATATTTGATTCAATTGCATTTATAGATTCTCTGAATTCGTGATAAAATATAAATATTGAGGTTAGAAAAGTTTGTTTACTAATCACATTTTACATTTTAACATTATTAAACAATATCCAGTATGCATGTTATTAAAAAAGATATAAAATATATATTTTAAGTGGGAATTACCGCAGCAGTATAAGATTTCAAGTTAGTAGACAAACACCCCTAACCTCAAAATTTATATTTTATCATGAATCCAGAGAATCTATAAATGCAATTGAATCAAATATATAACAAAATTAATTATCAACACACATTTTAATTTTATTATATGTCAACAAGCGTTTTCCGTGTTTAAAGTATGAATAAAATTGATGAAAGTGGAAACAAATTTTCTTCCCCGTAAGATTAACATTGTGTCGTCTGTTTGTTGTCCCTCCAGGCCTCTGACGTCATATCTTGAACTCGAAATATCTCGATGAACTGACACAGCCTAATATGCACAAAAAATTCAGTTACTACCCAACTCTGCTTTCGTGCAACAATACAGACGTTGAGTTGTAATTTCCCAGTTCTGATTATTTACGCACTGTCGTCAGTTGTCAGTTATATTAGTCAAAGATATTTTTATTAATAGACAATAATTATAGGGAAAATATTTCCACATGCAATTAGTTATTTATATAAAATTTGTGGATTTAATAAGTTAAGTGTAAAATTACTAATATTTTTTTTAAAATCCGACAGTTTACTCAAATATGGCATCCATTTTTCTAGTAATATTTTAGTAACATTTTTATCCATCACAAATTTATCCTTTACCCTGTATCCTAACGACTTTTATCCTCTATCTTTACAACTTTTTACCCACCTTTTTTCTGTGAAAATAAGATCTTAATTAATTTATTATTAAATAAAAAAAAATCTAATTCAAATTTTCATTATGTTAAAACTAAAATTTCAATGCGAAATAATAATTTTCTCTTCTAAAAACAAACTTGAACCTTAAAGGGTTAACGAATATTGTAAAAGACAGCCAAAGAAATAACACTATTTTAGCAAAATTAGTGTAACTATATGGGCGTGTCAGTTTCGCCTAAAATGTTTTTTTTTTTTTTTTTTGCGAAAGCAATATATTTAGAAATATTTTTATTTTCAACTAAAAACTTTAAAAAATACTGAAATTTACATATATATATAAAAAATGAGACTTATATGAGTAAAGCTTGTTTATTTATATAAAAACTTGAAAAAATTGAATGTTGAATAATATATATTATATTTATATGTTGAATATCTCTAGAAATATATAGCTAAGCGGTAAAAAAAAATGTAAAACTACGGCATTTAATAAATAAAGAAAAAAAAAGTCCATTGAAAAAATTTACTTCACGGTACTAGAATTTTTTTTGACCACTGTAATAAATTTTTTCTACACATATATGAATAAGTATACATGTTCGATATGAATATCATGAATATGGGGGAAATAAGGTTCAGTTAGGAAAAAAGAAGCTATTTTAAATTTTTATGATTTCATTCTCTCTGAATGTCTCGCACTATCGAAAAAAAATATCGAAAATGTTATTATTATTGACTTTTTCCATTGAGATTTTATTTTTTTCAAGGAAACAAATATTTTTTGACATAAAACCAAAATTGCAAATTACCATTTTTTTGTATTCTAATGTGTAATTATTTTTTTTTTGTTACATCATTAAAAAATTGTACCCGGAAATAATTGAATTGAAAATAATTAAAAGTATCTGATTATCAACAGCCGATAAAGTAGGAATCTGACAGAAATTTTAATTCAGTCGATAAGGTATGAAAACTAATTCCTACCTTATCGGCGTAGTTGAAAATTTGTTAGATTCCTACTTTATCGACCGTTGATAAGGTAGAAATCTTAATTACCGACTTGAAAAAATCTCAAGGGAAGAAGTTTTAAATTTTTGTAAATGAATAAGTCACGAGTTAGTTTAATGAAAAAAAGTTAATGAATTCGTGTTTAAAGCGATTTGGAAAAATTAATGATCTCACCTGTACTTAGGCATAGTGTCAGTAAAAGTGATGATCTTATTGACGCTATCTAATGCTGCAACGTCTGAATGATGATTATTTGATGGACCACTAAAGTTCTTCGGTGTCGGTTTTTGCGTGTACGGTGGATCGTACTTGTGGAAAGTACCCTTCCGTCTGTGAGAAAATAGTTAGTTAAAAATTTTTTTTATTCAAATTCAACAAAAATGTTCAGAAGAACAGAATAAAGCTCATGCAAGCTACATTATAGGTTTACGAACTGTTCTTGGGCCAAGTGCATCAGTGGGCTAGAAATTTGTTTTTTTTTTTTTAATGAATTTTTTTTTCTGACTACACCGTAAGTGGACTAGTCACACATTCAGATTCGTTCACCATTTCTTTTTTTATCTCCTAATTCCTAAAAAAAATTCCTCTTTATATCTTATTTTTCATCCTTCCACTACTCTGTGTGCGAACATTCCATTAGATCTATTAATCAATCATTTCACTTATTAAATTTTTTTTTTTTAATGAACTGTTCAGTCATTCTTCCTCTACATATTATTTATATTATATGTATATGTATATATACAAATGCCAATAAGATACAAAGAGGATAAATATATAAAAACTCATTTGTTTGAAAAGTTTTACGGAATAAAAGAACGTAAAAATTTTTATGCAGAAAATAGTATAGATAGTATATAATATTATTCCTTGATAGATGGTCCTTCTTTTTTTTTCTCTCTCTCTCTCTTTCTCTCTCTCGAGAAAAACGTTCACAACTTTTATGGAGAAACAATAAATGCTATCAGTTTATGTTGGAAACGTTAAATAAACGATGAAAATCCGATTCGTTCTCGTGTGCACGACAGTAAAAGTTTATCTCGGAGAAAAAGAACGGGAACAAATCTGATGTTAGGTTATATTTTCATTTGGGGGGGGGGAGGGGGCTTTTGGCTATTTATATATCGGGGCTACCATCTACTCGTGGATTTCGCATGCGGTAAAACATAAATGGTCAACCAGTCAAATGGTACACCCGCAGCTGGCCTTTAGCCTTTTGTCTGCTTATTGTCGAGAGCCCTCCACTCTGCAGTACCCAATAATCAACGAGTAAAAATCATATCCTAATTTTCGACACGTCACACATTTTTGGAATTAAGACTTCAAACGATTCTCAAAGGACGCATCTTTTTTTTTTTTTACGTCCAAGAGAGATTTCACTTTTACATTATTTTTTTTTCATTAAACCTTGTAAAAATATTGGTTCTTAAAATATTTATAACATTTACTAAAATTATTTTTGAATTCATTTTTGATTCATGAAAAAAATTTGGCCCCATTCATAAAAAGCTGAAATTGGGAGAAAATAACTTACCGCTATATGTTCACAATTTATTTTTATGTCCTTATGTTAAACATAAGAAAAGAATTTATATTTTTTATGTTATTAACAGAAAAAATTATTGTATACATAGCCTTATGCCTCCTTTGTGATTTCACCTTAATTGCACCATAACTGGTAATTAGATATACGATCCATTCTGCAGCTGCTCAACCCTGGTGTTCTGAGAGTTTCTACTCTATATATTGTGAACTTCTGGTAAGTCGAACGAATATTATAAAAAAAATTGCTTGCTCCTTTAATTTATTTTAATTTTTTCAAATTCGATGTTTACTATTTGGTCGTGATTTTGTGTATTGTAAAGTTAACCTTAAAAAAAGTTTGAGTTGCTGTTCACTTTTATTCATTAAAGCAATGCGACTATTACTATTTGGTCGTGATTTTGTGTATTGTAAAATTAACCTCAAAAAAAAGTTTGAGTTGCTGTCCATTTTTATTCATTAAAACAATAATTGTTATTTATTATCAGTAAAAGTAATAAGAATTATTAAATCATTTTGTATTTCAATATTTTCAACAAACTAGCGTTTTTAAAATGTCAAAAATTTTGAGTTTCGAATTTTTCTTACTATACTGACTAATATTTAATAACTTATGTTACTAACATATAAAAATGATTGACTTTTTCTGTAAACTACATTATAAATAACATGATTACATTATAATAATGAAGAACATTAATCAACATTTGAAAAAAATTTTAAATCACGATAACTTTTTAAAAAATAAATATTTTTAGAATGTGAAAATTTTGATCCACGGAAGGTATTTTAAATAACACAAGTTTTATGTCATTTTTTAATTTATTGCTAAGCAACGTTTCGATGACATGGTTTTGTCATCCTCTTCAGGCAAGTATAAAATTGAAATTACATTTTTTGTAATTAGTCAAATGAATATGAAATTTTGCGTCTTATCATGGCAAGCGAATTTTCGAAACTGAATATTTTAGAATAAAAATGAATATTTTTGTATGAGATTTGAAATTAAGACGCATTTTACATGTGAATTGCTGAAAAAGTTACAAAAAAAAAATTAAAATATGATTTTTATCTAATTCATATGTTTAATCTATGTGTTTTTAATTTTAAATCATATCTGTACATAAATGATTGAAAAACGATGTGAAAAACCAAAATTCTTGACCAAGTGACGTCGCACGTAGACGACAAATTAAACATTTTAATATAATAGAAGATTTTACTATAAAATCGGTTGAGTATAATATTTTAGAAAGATGAATTTTTTGATTTTCACTTCTATAACTTATACAAAATCAGAATATTTGCTGAAAAGTTTTATCCCAATGGTATACCAACTTTTTGGTACTAATTTCAACCTTTTATGGAATGGGCTCAAGTTTCGCATATGCTTACTCCTCCATAACCTTTCCATTGTGCAACTCGGGATGTCACAGATTTTCATCCAAAGGAAAGAATTTTTTTTTTTATTTTTTACTCTATTCAATATTTTTATTTTAGTGGAAAAAAATTTGTTCCATAAAATTTATATATTTTTAAAAATCCATCAACACTATATATATACTATATGCTATGAATATTTTTCATGATGCGTTCATACAAGTGACAGCAACTGACAGATATCTGAAATAACGCCAGTGAAATCTCTCTCTCTCTCCCTTTATTTCACTACCTATGTACAGTAGTTTTTGTGAGAATCCGCAATATTTTTTTTTTCGTATCCTTCCTATAAAACAAAAATTTTGAATGCAGAAAAAATGGTGTAAAAAGAATAGAAATTAAAGAGAAGACCAACAAAAAAAATATCAGTTTAATTGTCAACTTGACACAGTTCGTAAGTAGGCGAATATTGCGAGAGAAATGCATTGTCGTCAGAATTTGTCAGGAACATGCTCGGTTACACTCGCAATGAGACTTACATTATATATATATAAGAGAGAAATGCATTCAATCTAATATAAAAATTCTTCTATTTTAATCAATTTCTTTAATAATATTTAAAAAATTTATTTTTATAAAAATATAAAAGAGACGAATTCAAATATATAAGAATTGAATGAAAATCTTTGAAAACTCCTCCCGACAATTAATTCTTTGTTTGCTCGCATGCTATCACGAAGCCGACAATCATAAAGCACTATATATATAATCAAGGTGCAGAGAGAATGCAAAAGAAAGGGTCGCCAATTTATTTTTTCAAAAAAAAAATTCGTTCAATCAGCATATGGATATTTATCGCTGTATTATTTATTATTAAAAAAACATTTTTAAATTCATGTCATTTGAAAAAAATTATAAAATATTTGAAATAAAAAAACAAAAAAAAGAGAGGAAAAATAGTTTTAAACCGAAACTTGGCGACCCTGTTTGTTCAAGTCCCATTAGCCAAGAGGCGAAACAGATACACACCGTAGAAAAATATTCACTTGGTTTAAAAAAAACAAACAATTAACATCTCGCGTTTCTAGTCACTTAAACTCTCGTCGTATTACGTTATTGACAAAAAACCGAAAAGCACTATAGAATTCGCCTTGTAAAAAATATCAGCCAAAGCGAAGTGATGGCAATGAGAGCATAGCTTCTATATGAATAAAACGATTTTGTTTTTTGAATTTTCATAAAGTGGTAGATTCAAAAGTATTTTATTTACTTTAAAAGGGAAAATTTGCTTGATTTATAAAAAAAAATTTTTTAATTCAATAAAAGTTTCAATCAAAATTATTTTCTTCAATTTTTGTTTTTTGATTTAATAAAATCTTTCCAATCAAAAAAAAATTTGAAATTCACAAATTCCTTTGATTCAGAGAAATTTTTTTTCTGGTGAAAGAAAAAGTAATAAAAATATTATTTGAAAAAAAATATAAACTGTTTTCTGGATTTATTAACGCATTAGTTATTTATTGTGCCAAGTTAATTATTAATATAATCATTAAATTTTAATCAAATGCTAATGCTCAATTAATAACTCTCAGTGCCATAACTGCGAAAGCGTTATCAATGCCCTTATATTTGCGGTTTACAGCGAGAAATTGCAACTTGCCCTTACTTCCTGTTACGTCACACCCAATCCAATCCGAGGTCCCTTTTCACTCTCCTTGTCATTTTCAGCATAGAATTTCATTCTTTATATATACATAAACAAAACCACTTTCATATATATATATAAAGAATGCAATTCAGATCTGACTTGTTTCAAATATATATTTATATTCTTTTGTTTTTAAACCCTATATAAAACAAATATATATTCTCGAAATGGTAAACGGAATGAAATTTTTTTTTCTTGAGAAATTTTAGAATTAATTTTTTTGAAAATTTTTTTCAAATTTATATAGTTAAGAAAATGAATTATAATTTAAGAAATTCAAATAATTATAACCAACAGTTAACGCATTTATTATTTTTGTAAAATTACTCATTGAAATATTAATTCAATGTATTTTACCTAAAAGAATAAAAAAAACGATTGAATCAAGAAAATATCGCTTCAAAAAATCAGAGGTGGCACTTCTTAAGGCACTCTCACACCTTTTTGGCTGCCTGCCTGCCTGCAGGTTACCATGACAACGCACGAGTGTGAGTGAGACAGAAAATTTGAATATTCAAATTTTTAAATTTTCTGTCGCACTCACTCTCATGCGTTGCCATGGTAACCTGCAGGCAGCCAAAAAGATGTGAGAGTGCCTTTACGAAAAAATTTTGAATTTCGAATTTTTTTCAAAAATCAATAAAAATTATCAAAAATAATAAAAGCTTGCATTTTTTTATTATATTAACTCAAATTTCAC